CTCCCTTACTCTTGCCATTAGACCAATAGCCACTCCCAGCGCTGCCCACTGGGGGGCATACATCTGACCACACTGCTGAGATGCTTGTGGTTTACCACCCGAGGGGTAATCCTTGCAGCTCAGGGGTGAGAAGAGGCCACCTCACAAGACAAAGACAGAAACGGTGGGTGGCAAAGTTTCAAGCACTGGCTGCAGGCCAGAGGGAGGATATTTCTGCATGTGTTAGAGGTAGGAAGGAAGCTCTCTCACATTCAGCCCTTTGCAGGAAGCCCTGGCAGAGGGCAGTGTGGTTTTCTCTTTATTTTCTCTTTGAGCTTTGTTGTCCGTCTGGGCAGCAGGCTCTGAATTCAGCATTGTTCGGAGAAGGGAGATACTGTGAGATGCGTGTAAGCAGCTGGATAAATTAGTAAGATTCTGTCTCATTAATGTGGGATGAAGAAAAAAGCTCCTTGCCTCTCCAAGTTTGCTAGCACGCAGCGCCCAGCCTGGCACCACTCACACCTGGTAACAGGTTCTCAGTAAAAGCTATTCTCTTCCTCTGAGAGTGTGGAGAAATGAGCAGGGCAGGGCTCAGAAATTCTGAGCTGGTTAAAACCTCAACTTGTCTAGCCAGTTCTGCTCCAGGCTGCTGTAGGCTGCCACTTTATGTGCAACAGGCATTTTTGTACATATTCGTGTGTTCTTCGGCTCTTAGTTTGTTTACTCTGCTCGTTTGCAAACAAATCTGTCCCTGTATATACCACACAGCCCTATCGAATGTTGTTCTATCACCCTGACATTGTCAGACTTCCTTCCTAGCACTTATATGGAAACATTAGTCACTCAGTCCTGTCTGACTCTTTGTGACCCCATGGGGTGTAGCCCACCAGGCTCCTCTGTCCATGGAATTCTCCAGGCAAGAATACTGGAGTGGGCTGCCATGTCCTTCTCCAGGCGACCTTCCCAACCCAGGGATTGAACCCAGCTCTCCTGCATTGTGGGCAGATTCTTTACTATCTGAGCCACCAGGGGAGCACCCTAGAACATATATGAAATGATCCTATTTACTTATACATTTACTTGATTACTTGTTATCTAATGATATTAGATAATATTCTAAGGTTGTCTCCCTTAGAATGTCACCTCTTTGATAGAAATTTTGTCTTGTTCACCACTTTGTCTACCAAAACAGGGTGTTTGTGGAGATAGACTGCATGAATGACCATGCACACGTTTGTCTTCCAAAGGAGAGGGCAGACAGGTCAGTGAGACAACTGCTGTGTGAAGGGTCCAGAGCCAGTTCTTCTCCAAGGCATGGGACCCCACTGTGGCCCTGACTGCACCACACTGATCTTCCCCCCTGTTTTCTGTTCTTTCTTTCTTCCTTCCTTACTTCAATATTAACATATATATTTGTTTGTTTTGTTTTAATACCTTTACTTGGGATTTAGTTACAAAAGTAGCACATACTTGTTATCTTTTCTTTTCTTTTTTTTGGCCACAGCCTTGTTTTGGCTGTGTAGTTTGTGGGATTTTAGTTCCCTGACCAGGGCTTGAAACCGGGTCACCACACTGAAAGCACTGAGTCCTAACCCCTGGACTGCCAGGGAATTCCACATGCCAGTTATCTTTTAAAATGCACAAGTATATATTTTTAACAATGGAAAATTATCCCCTTCCTTTCATTGCCTCTTTCCAAAGGCAACCAGGCTGGCATTCAGATGTATATGCTCCCAGTCTTTCCTGGAGCACAGGGAAGTCTTCACCACTCCCCCCACCAAGGCTGCACAGTTTCAAGCTGAGGACATCTGCCTCCTCACTTCTCTCCCCCTTTCAGAGAAAAAGTCTCCATGTTCTGAGATTTCTCAGAAACAAAACACCACAGCTTTCCACATTCCTTCTGTGCTCCCCACCCTCCTCCTTCAACCAAACAAAGCAAAACAGAACACAGAAATGCCAAGGAATGATTAGAAAAACTGTGAGCTCCTGACTCAGGCAGATCTGGATGGAAATCCTGCCATACCATCTGTCAATGGCCTCGACCCTCTCTGAGCCTCAGTTTCTTTGTAAGAGAAAAGATGATTTACTTATAAGATTGGGTTGGGACAAGGGTTAAACTGGGCACTAGACAAGGGCTGGTGCGTGGGAGGAGATTTCATAACTTAATTTTCCTTTCTTCCCAATATCATTCCCAGGCCAGTTGCAACTGCTTCCCTGTCACTTTTGTTTTGCTAGAGATGAAGAACACCAAGGTTTCTTTTCTTTTGTAAATACATCATGTTGTTCATCATCTCCTCTCCCTTCCCTTCACTGGGTTTAGTACTTCTTTCCTCAATTCCCCATTTCCCCATCAATGTTCTCAGGGCCTATTTACAGAGTCCCAAAGAAACTGGGCTTCAGGTGGAAGAAAAAGGGGGACCAGCAGTGCCCCCCCACCCCGGCCCCTGTGGCTGCGGCTCCAGGACTTCAGCCAGGAACATTCCACTCCCTGTTTGTGGAGACCACAGCCAAAGCTCGGGCAGCGGTTACACAGTCGCCTGGCTGTCTAGCTGTTAACCTGATAACCTATCACCTCTAATACTTACTGTGCTTCTCTGGGGCTTGGAACAACAGGAGGAACACACCCACCCCTCCAACCTTCCCAAGCACCCTGTTTGGGGCTGGGGGATGCCCAGAGTCAGGGCGTCATGAGGGGCCACCCAGGTGAGTAGACTGAAGTCCAACTCGCCCAGCTCTGGCTGGCCTCGGTTTCAGGAAAGGGATCCCTGAAATTACTGAGAAGCGGCTAGGGGCACTCAGGAGACCCGTGCTGATTGGGGTACAGTTCACCCCAAGCCCTGTTCGTGCCCCAAGAAGCAAATACACCAAGGGCGCTTCTCTGTTATCATTATCAGTCTGAACCCTGACCCTGGATTGCCTCTACCTGCAGCCTGATTGGGACAACTTTCCCCAGAACTTTGCAGGCTCTGGAGTGAGGATTCTGAGAGAAAATCACAAGAAGAGGCTAGAGGTGAGAGTATGGAGCCGCAGGGCGTGAGAGAACTTGCATTGCGTGACAGACTCTGGGACAAGCAAAATAATATACCTTCATTGAAGTTAAGAACTTTTGATAAGGGCGGGGGTGGGGTGGGCTGAGGGTTCTTTCTCTTTCAGATCTTGCCTGTTAGTCTCCCTCAATCCAAAAAGTAGAAAAGTAGAGAAGAGGTAGGCAACAGAGACCCCAGGACGAGGGTGGCCAGAGGGATGGGGCAGGGTGAGTGGAGGCAGCCTGGGAGCAGGAAGCTGGCAAAGGTGAAGAGGCAGTCCTCAGGGGCCACCCCCGTGGGACAGCTGCACCCCCTTGTCAGCTGCCTGGATGACAGTACAACGGCGAGGATGTAGAAGCAGCAAAGAGCCAAGAGGGGCTGAGTGGCACTGGGGACCCAGGATAAGGGACCCCGGTCATGGGCAGCCACAGAGCATCTTCCCTTGAGTCAAGTGATCCCTCACCCATGGGAACCAGGAGGCCAGACACCCATCACACCGAAGCCCAGTCTTGCTCTCCTGCCTGCCACTCTGGTTTGGAAACCCTGTGGCTCTTTTCTACTGGCAACCTCAAGCCCAAACATTGTTGCTTTCCCTCTCCAATAAAAACTTCACCACACAGCTTTCATCCAAGGAGATGAAAGAGGCTTCCTGAGACCAGAGCCAGCAGGTTCCTAGAAGAGGGGGGCAGGGGTTACCCCAGTCATGTGGCCAAGTTTGATGAGAGAGGGGGCCCTTGGTTTCGAGATGGAGAGCAATTTGCCAGGGTCCTCTTGTCCAGCTCTCTAAACCCTCGATCCCCAGATGAGGGCAGCCCCAGAGAGTTAAGGGATCAGGCTTCAACCATGCCTCAGTTCTTGAGCAAGTAGGTGTCATTTGCCTAGGGGCCGGGACACTATATTAGCAGACTCAGCAGTCATGGAATCCTCCAGTTGGAGAACTCTTTCCTGGATAGATGGAGAGTCTGAATTTTAGGGCCTGTCACGGTCAGCTAGGGACAATGGCATCACGCTGGACTGTCCTTGGGCCCTATTATGCTGCCCTAAGGAGTTATTGCGGCACCAGGCTGGGAGATGAGGGGGAGGCATTCCACTTTCACCTTCTGAGGTTTATGAGGGTAGTAGAGGGTAATGAGGAGCACTGCCAAGTTTCCTTCCACTTCAAAGCTTATGAGTCGTGAATGGGTCTGGGGAAGGTGCAACCTGTACACACAGCCCCGCCCTGGCTCCTGTCAGGGCAGCTGCGGTAGCAAGACAGGGGTGAGCAGCCTTGGGGAACACAGATGTATAGAATAAGAAGGAGCCTCAGGAGAGAGCTGACCCTGGCTACGAATGGGGGAGCAAATGAGCCCACAGTCTTCAGAGTCTCTGAATGCCAAGAGTCAGGTCCGCGTGCAGAGATGAGCGTTTAGAGATCCAGAAACGTGTGAGCATACACACTCATGCAAACACGCATGGCCATGCCCACAAAGGCATAAACATTCTTGCCGGTACACAGACGTGCACAGGCACACACACACAGAGTCACAGATTGTGACACACAGGCACCCTCACATAGCCACACAGACACAGACACACACTCCCGCAGGCACACGCATGAAAGTACACACGCAGGCAGCACACGGGTATACAGGAGCGAGAACCCGCCCAGATACACAAGAGCACATGCCCAGGCACCCACCCCACTAGAGGGAAACGAGCCCTGACACAGCGCACATCTGCACACGCTCAGGTTCCTTCACACACACGCTTGCACTCTCACACAAACAGCTGCCCAGGCCATTTGAAAGTGCCCCAGCTGGCCAGCCGCTACCCGCCATTCCCGCCCAACTGCGGCCCGGGCCCTCCCCCTGCCCCGCCCACCCCAATTGTTTGTAGAAATCCCGTCGTCCGGGTGCCCTCCTCCCGCACAGCCAGCCAGCCTGGACACCTGCACAACCTTCTCTCTCTGCCCACTCCTGGCAGACCCCTCGGGAGCAAAGCGCACCAGCGAGCAGCATGGGTAAGGAGGGGGGCTTCTGACCACCGTGCGCTGCCCGCCGCTGGCCCGTCCCCCACAGGAAGTGACCGAAAACCTGGAGCGGGAGCTGGTTAGCGGAGGGAGCTGCCCAGCTCTGCTCCACCGTCGCCACCCCACCCGCACCCCTGCATTTCCCAGAACCAAAGTTCTGGAATCGTCCATCTGGGAAGGCAGAGGGACTTCTGGGAAGGGTGACCTTGGGCTCCCACCCAGCTCCCCAGCTGCAACCTGGGACCAGGGCGCCTTGCTGCAGCTGAGAAAATACGTACGGGTGAGGGCACTTAGGAGCAACTGTACCCTCTCTGACAGTTACCATGGGAGCCTGACAGCCCTGATTCAGCCCCAGGCCAGCTTCTCACCGTAGGGACCAGGGAACCCGGCCTTTCGTGGCCAGCTCACTCTCTAGCTATCCTGCCCCACCAATCACTCCAGGAGGGAGATCAGGGAGCCCCCACCCTCTCTTAAAACGGGGCGCGGGGGAGAAGGGGTGTTTCAGACTGTTTCAGTGCCTCCCACCTTCTCAGTCCTCCAAGCCTCCAAGCTCTCCTATTCCCCTGTCCATGGACTTTTTGATGTCAGGCTGAGGAGGAGCCTGGGTCTGCTTGGGAGAATTGAGGTTCTTGCCTGTTGGGACCTGGCTCTTTCCTGTACTGGTGGAATGCCCAACAAGCCAGCCTGGCTTTGGAAGAACCCCTGGACTCATCTCAAACCCAAAGATATCTGAGATGATGCTTGAGATGCTTAAGATAGATGCTCCCCCAGAAAGAGGACTGATGCTCAGTGGAGTCTGAGTGGCTCACAGGGCCTGACCCTGACTGAGAAAAATGCTGTGGGCATTGGGGAATGGGGCACTTGGGCTCTGGGATGGGAGGATGGTGCTTAGGGGCGATACCTCCTTCACAACACACCTCCTTCATACCTTTACTTCTCTCTCAGTCTCTGGTTTTGCAGTTTTTGTATCTCTGTCTTGATGTCTTGGAGTTGGTTTTTTTTTTTTTTTTTGGCTTCATGGGGTCCTAGTGGCGGCACGAGGGATCGTTTAATTGCAGTGAGGGTTCTCTAGTTGTGGTGCACGAGTTCCAGAGCTGTGGGCAGCCCTACTGCCTGCAGAATCTTAATTCCCCGACCAGGGATCGAACCCACATCCCCTGCGCTGCAAGGCGGATTCTTAACCAGTGGACCACCAAGGAAGTCCCTTGAGGTCTTGGAGTTTTGAACCTCCTTCCATTCTGTTTCTGGCAACCTCCTTCTCTTCCCCCTTACCTCCTGTGCCAAACCCTGACACAGCTTGGTTGCAGAGCTGAACAAGTATTAATTCCTTGGGGCTGGGCCTCACCTGTCCCATCCCGGCCCAGCCCTCTCTCTGGGCACCAGGCACTGCCTTGGATCTCTGGCACAGCCCTACCCATATTTATACGACATTTCTCACCTGAAAGTACTTCTGAATACTTTGTCTTGTTTGGCCTTCACAGCCACTTAGAGAAGAAGGTGAGGTATTATTAGCCCTTTTAGGCAAAGAGGAGAAAATGGAGAGAGTAGGTGTCAAACCTGGACCTTGAAACCGCACTCTGGACTCTACAGTGCTGTCACTGCCTTTCAGACTCCTAAGTCACGTGGCTGCTGCAAGTAGGGGACCTGGCACCTTGGCTGAGGGCTGAGCCCAGGTACCAGTGGAGGTTGGACTCTGGAGCAGTGGCCAGGCTGGCCATGCTCCAGGCAGGGAGGTCATGTCAAGTCCTGTGAACTTCACTCCAGGGTTTCTTTCGGCCTACAGCTCCCTCTGTTTATTCCTCAGCCCTTCCTCCAGGTTAGGCCCCAAAACCTGATGCTTAATGCCTAAGTGGTAGTCCTCCCTGTCAGGGACTGACTCTTTGGTCACCTAGATCCATGTGGCTTCTCTTGCCAGCCTTCAGGGGACAAGGAGGGCCACTTCCTACAGCTCTAGTGGTTGGGCATCTGAACTCTCCAGGGTTGGTTTACAGATAAACCAAGTGGATGGGGCCGACCCAGCGGTAGAAACTGGTCTAAGGATCTTCAGCTGGTGTCAGTCCTGCAGGCTTGAACTTCAGCCTCCTATCCCTTCCCAGACTTTTGGTTATATAACCCTAGCGCTGGCTGGCAGCCTGAGGTCAGGACCCAGAGGGGAGGGAAGCAGGAATTATCCCAGCTCCTAGCTTAGATGCCTTTCAAGTGAAATGAGATGAACAGGCGCCACCTGAGGGCTGTTCGTCAAGCACAACCAGGGTTTACTGGCTGCTCCCAGTCTCACGCTTGACTTCAACTGCTGTTTTATTTCTCATACAAGCCCACTGTGGTATTCTTATTACCCTCTTTTTACAGATGATGTGAAAGCTGAGGCCAAGGAGGTTAAGTGATGTGTCTAAGTTCCCATGGCCAGTCAGTGACCAGCTGAGATGGGGACCCAAGTCAATGTCATAACCATTGCACCACACAGCCTCCCCTGCACTTACCCTTCTCCTGCCTCCCCTGGGTGCTGCTTGAGGGTCTGTGCACCTTCAAGTTGTATCTCTGCAACTCTTCCCACCACTCCCACACACTCAGGAGGGTCTGGAGGGGACCTGGGACGGTGCCTCTGCCTTGGCCAGTGGCGGGATGGGAGGGCTGGGGGTTGCAGCATGCAAGGAAGGAGCCTTCGCCCTCCAGAGTGTGGTCCAGCCAACAAGCCCCATTGTTTCCACAGCGACCAAATGTGGGAAGTGCGGACCTGGCTACCCTTCCCCTCTGGAGGCCATGAAAGGTACGTGTGAGAAGGTTGAGATCCAGCATCCTCAGGAGTGGGCAAGCCAGTACCAGTTACTGACCCTGTTGCTGGCACACCCTGCCCTGGTCTGGCCCTCCTCCCCAGCCTGTCACCCCCACTGCCTGCTTTCTACCCTCCAGGACCCAGGGAGGAGCTTGTCTACGTGCCCTGCATTTACCGGAACACGGGCACTGAAGCCCCGGATTACCTGGCCACTGTGGATGTTAACCCCAAGTCTCCCCAGTATTCCCAGGTGAGGTGGGGCTTGGACACCAGGGGCCCTAAGACTCCCCTCTAGGTGGCCCTGACAATGCCCTTCCCCACTCCATCCTTCTTCACCCCCCCGGCTCTGGTGGTTCAGGTTGTTCGTTGCACAAGAGTACCCCCACCCATGTGCAAGGCCAGTGCTGGAATCAGGGCTGTGCTTTGCTGCCAGCTGCAGCAGGTCCAGGGGGCCCCTTTTTGAAAAGCACACAGAGGCATGGTCTGGATAAGCACCACCCATAACCCCTCTCCTCTGCTAGGTCATCCACCGGCTGCCCGTGCCCAACCTGAAGGACGAACTGCATCACTCAGGATGGAACACCTGCAGCAGCTGCTTCGGGGACAGCACCAAGTCGCGCACCAAGCTGGTGCTACCCAGTCTTATCTCCTCCCGAGTCTATGTGGTGGACGTGGCCACCGAGCCCCGCGCTCCAAAGCTGCACAAGGCACGTCCTCTGCCCTAGCCAGCTCTGAGCCCCTAATGGGCTCAGCACCTGGGGCAGCCTATGGGCAGGAAAGCCGCCCCTAATAGCAGCAGCCTCGGGCTCCTGCGCAGGGTCAGGCTCAGCAGCAGGGAGCAGGGCTGGACTTTGGAGGAGAGTTACCGGGTGCACTGGGTCATCATCACCCAGGGGCACCACAAGGGAGGAAGGAGGCTCTTGTTTTTCACTCTGAGCTTAAGGAGCCATTTTTTCACCAGTGAGTTAGTGAGCCCAGGGTTTCCCTTAGGCGGAGCCTCTGATCCCTCCTTTCAACACTTTGCTGAGTGCCCTCTTTGTGCCAGGCACTCACTGCTGGCTGCTGGTGATACAGAGTTGACACTGGCATCTTCCCAGCCTGGGAGGAGCTTATGGTCTCAAAGGGCTGTGAATGCCCTCAAGACTGGGGAGGAGCGGGGAGGAGGGAGGAGAGAAATTCCAGCTTTCAGCCAGAGAGTTGTCAGTCTCTGACGCCGCTGCTGGTCTGCAGACTGAATCTTTGCCATATTCCTACAGGGAAAATTGTGTCCATGTTTGAAAGGAAAAGAGGGTGGGTCAGCAAATAGAAGTGTGGGAGGGGAGGAGTGAGGAGTGGAGACTCCTGGCCCTGTTAGTTTCTGACATCATTCCTTACCCCTCTCCAGGTCATTGAGCCCAAGGAGATCCATGCCAAGTGTGACCTGGGCTACCTCCACACCAGTCACTGTCTGGCCAGTGGGGAGGTGATGATCAGTGCCCTGGGAGACCCCAAGGGCAACAGCAAAGGTACTGCAGGCACAGCTGTGAGGGAAGCGGATTCCAAACACGGGAGGGATGGAATGACCTTCCAGGGAGAATCGGCGGGGGGCGGGTCTCATCCAATATTTAAGTGATAATCATGTAACCTTGGTCTTCCCAGGGGGCACTAGTGGTAAAGAACTTAGCTGCCAATGCAGGTTGATGTAAGAGATGTGGGTTCGATCCCTGGGCCGGGAAGATCCCCTGGAGGAGGGCAGGGCAACCCATTCCAGTATTCCTGCCTAGAGAACCCCATGTTTCTCTGGGGAAATCCCCAGAACCTCTGTTTCTGGACAGAGTAACCTGGTGGGCTGCAGTCCATAGTGTTGCACACAGTCAGACAAAACTGAAACGACTTAGCACACATGTGTGTAACTTCAGTTGTTTCAATTATTTTTATGAGGATGAGCCTTGAATGATGAATTCACTTACAAGTTCTGGTCTGCCATGGGGAATGTGAGAGAGTACAGACATGGCCGTAGAAAACAGATACATTTAATATCAGCCTTCCCGAACTCAAGAGCAAATCTCACAATCCTTGGGATCCTTAACTGTCGCAGCTACTTGCTCACTTATGGTGTGGTCAATAGCTTTTACATGAAATGTCTACTATGTGCCAGACACGACCTACGAGATAGATGCTACTGTGATCCCTGTTTCACATGTCAGGAAACTGGGGCACAGACTGGTTAAGTCAGCAGCTATTAAGTGGCAGAGCTGGAACTCAAACCCGGCAGTACGGCCCCTGTTTATGTCCTAATCACCGTGCTATACTGCTTCTCTGCCAGCCTCACCTGTTTCACCAGAGCTTTCCATCCAAGGGGCTTGGAGTGAACTATCAGTTAAGGTCATGGATGACCTTACTGATTACTGCATTAGACTGCAGTAGATTACTGCATTAGACTGCAGTAGATCAAGGTTACTGCATTAGACTCCATTTAACTGCTTTTTCCAGAAGATGGGTTGCATGACGTTCCAAGATTTAAGAACACTTAGGAGTAGACATCTATTTACATTTGCAAAGAAATGGCAAGGTGTCACAACCTACTCAGCTAGGGAAAAACACAGTGGGCACTCATGTTGAATTACAAATAAATAGCATTTTCTCTGTCTAAAAAAATGTAGTGAACAGAATGCAGTTTAGACTCTGGCAGGAATCCTACACTGAAAGTAGGAGGCTGGGCAGAGGAAGCATAGGGCACGGAGTCCCAAAAGATCCTGGCACCAGGGAGGAAAAATGAACCCTGTGGTCTGGGAGAGGGATGAACTGATGAGAGGCAGGACACCGAGCAAGTCCCCACCTTTCACCCGGCCTTCTGGATGGGACCCTTTGGTCAGGTGGCCAAATCCAGCTCCTGAATCTAAGGACCTGGTAAACCCAGTGGGAGGAGGGGCACCAGGTGATGGGCTCAGAGCCTCTCGGACAGGCCTGGGGTGAGGGCTGGATGCGGGGCCTGTCTCCACCACCTCTACCTACCGCTTGACTTTCCTCACTGCTCAGGGGGTTTTGTGCTCCTGGATGGAGAGACATTTGAGGTGAAGGGGACGTGGGAGCGGCCTGGAGGTGCTGCGCCTATGGGCTATGACTTCTGGTACCAACCTCGACACAATGTCATGATCAGTACTGAATGGGCAGCTCCCAATGTCTTACGAGATGGCTTCAACCCTGCTGATGTAGAGGCAGGTGAGAACCCCCCGTATACCCGTGGGCTGGCTGGAGCTTGCTCATGTGAACCCCTGCTTTCTATTCCAAACCCCCACTCTCCAGCCATCTTACTTCCCTCATGTGGATCCTGGAACCTTGGGGTGATGGTATAGGATGTGCTGAGTGCTCTGACTTGCTCAAGCATCCTTCTGATCCCTCCAACCCATCTTTCATCCTTCTACCCTGGGCTGGGCCCCAGCCTTGGCCCAGGCTCTCCTGCCCTGATCCTGATTCCATCTTCCGACCATGTCTCCACCCCAGGGCTGTATGGGCAATGCTTACACGTGTGGGACTGGCAGCGCCATGAGAGGGTGCAGACCCTGACTCTGCAGGACGGTCTCATCCCCCTGGAGATCCGCTTCCTGCACAACCCGGCCGCTGATCAGGGCTTCGTGGGCTGTGCCCTTGGCTCCAACATCCAGCGCTTCTACAAGAACCAGGTGATGTGAGCTCTGGCCCTCTCATCCCAGCAGTCCTGTCAACTCTCTGCCAGCTTCCGTACTGTGTCACTACTTTCTCCCTCAGGGTGACCCAGGTCTCCTCCTCCTCTGGCTCCACCAGCCCAGACTTCCCAGGAATTAAAAATAAGGCCACCTGCCCTGCCTCTCTTCTCTGTCCTAGGCTAATTTCTCCCTAAGCCCCAACTGGCCATACTTATTCATTCATTCATTCATTCATTCAAAAAATATTTAGTGAGTCAGGCACTGTGCTAGAGCTTTCCAGGTGGTGCTAGTGGTAAAGAACCCACCTACTAATGTAGGTAGATGTAAAGAGATGTGGATTTTATCCCTGGGTCGAGAAGAACCCCTGGAGCAGGGCACAGCAACCCACTCCAGTATTCTTGCCAGGAGAACCCCATGGACAGAGGAACCTGGTGGACTGAGGTCTATAGGGTCGCAAAGAGTCAGACACAACTTAAGCAACTTAGCACTTACACACACACTGTGCTAAGTGCTGGGAATACAAGGGGAAAGCAGACATGATCCCTGCCTTAGGAGGGTCCGCATGGGAGTTAGACCCTAGTGGCAAGAAGACCCTATACCCACTCTCTGTCTGCAGACAGTACACTCTGGGGAGACCTAGACCTGACACCCATCACCCAACTCTGACAGGCTCCCCTCTCTGCCTCTTAACCCCAATGCAGGGAGGGACTTGGTCAGTGGAGAAGGTGATCCAGGTGCCCCCCAAGAAAGTGAAGGGCTGGATACTGCCTGAAATGCCAAGTGAGTGCTCGGGGGAGCATGGGAATTGGAATGTTGATTCCTGGGCTGGGGAACAGGAGTCCCTAAAGCCTCTGGACCCCACCCCCTACCCCCAGGCCTGATCACTGACATCCTGCTGTCCCTGGATGACCGCTTTCTCTACTTCAGCAACTGGCTGCACGGGGACCTGAGACAGTACGACATCTCTGACCCCAAGAGGCCCCGCCTCGCGGGACAGGTGGGGTCCCAGCAGGATGGAGAGGGAGGGAGGAAGTAGACGTCTAGACATGAGGTGGAGGGTACAAAGTACCTGGGAGATGATAAAGAAGGTGCAGGAAAAGCAGAGATGGGGGCTGAGGGATGTTCGGGCCAGAACCACAGGGAATCGTGGTTGCACGTGGGGGACGTGAGGAAGTGAGGTGCTCTTCCTGGAATGTCCTCACTGCCCACCACTGTCCTCCTTTCTGCTCTGCTCCTCCCCATCCAGATTTTCCTCGGGGGCAGCATTGTTAAGGGAGGCCCTGTGCAGGTCTTGGAGGACCAGGAGCTAAAATGCCAGCCAGAGCCCCTGGTGGTCAAGGTGAGGCTGTCTCCCCCACAGATCAGGGGCCCCTCAGATCCCTGCTGGAGAGGTATGGGGGAGAGGGCTGGGCCACAGCTGAATACCTCTCAGGGTTTGAGGGGTGCCACTGGTTCCCATGATCTGTATGTAACCCTGGGGTCTGACCCCTGGTTTTCCCAAGGGGAAGCGAGTGGCTGGAGGCCCTCAGATGATCCAGCTCAGCTTGGATGGGACACGTCTCTATGTCACCACATCGCTGTACAGTGCCTGGGACAAGCAGTTTTACCCTGATCTCATCAGGTAAGGAGACAACCTGGGCTCCCCTCCCAGCCCTCCTCTCCCAGAGGGGCTGGGCTTCCTGAAGACTCCTCAGCTCCGCTTGCAGACCCTGCTCCCTCCTCAGGAAGCCCTCCTCCATCCCCCAACACTTACCTAATTTTGATGGAAGGAGAGGTGGCCCCCTCTGACCTCTTTCTTCTCCTGCCCTGTTTCCTCCAGGGAAGGCTCTGTGATGCTGCAGATCGACGTAGACACAGTCAGGGGAGGGCTGAAGCTGAACCCCAACTTCCTGGTGGATTTTGGGAAGGAGCCCCTTGGCCCAGCCCTGGCCCATGAGCTCCGCTACCCTGGGGGCGACTGCAGCTCTGACATCTGGCTCTGAAGCAGCCCCCCAGCCCCCGACTCCGGCTCCTAGCTCCATTCCGCATTTTGAACCCTCCATTCTGCAGAGACCTGGCTTCACTCTGCTCTCTCAGCCTCCGACCCTTAGCAGCTTCTCCTTTTAAAGCCAAACCCAGGCTGTTGACATGTAGTGAACCATGTCTCCAGCTGCCTGCCATGGTCGCAAGCCGCTCACTGTGCTGTTTTTACATGAGCTGTTGGAAATGATTTTTCTAAGAAATAAACGGGTGAACCTCTTCCTGAGATCACCTTGTCTCTGGGGGCACTGGGCTCCTCCTCTGCCAACCCTTTGTATCTTGCAGGAAAGTCCTGAAGGGGACCAAGGGGCGGGGTAGTTATGATGACTAGTTCATGCCAATGATTCCGGTATGACGCTAATGGTGCCAAAATCTCACTTCTGTGGCCAGATAGAACCTGAAGATTTTGAAGGTGGTTGTCACAAGGAGAGCCAGTGTTCCTAAACTATTATTTTTTTTAATCTTTGAAATTTAAAAAAAAAATTTATGTATTTGGCTGTGCAGGCTGTTAATTGTGGCATGTAGGATCTACTTCCCTGACAAGGGACCAAACCTGGGCCCCCTGCACTGGGAATGTAGAATCTTAGCCACTGGACCACCAGGGAAGTCACTAATTTGTGCTTTCTTTTAATGAACCACCCATCTCATCCACCACCCCCAGGAGGACGTAACCTGCCCTCTCACACACAGGAGATCCCCTAGAGTCCTGACATAGATGTGCTGTCAGTTCCCAATGCTGCTGACAAGACTGAGAGAACACACCGGTCCAGGGAGGTTAGGTTTGTCACCTCCTACCTGGAAGACAGGAACAAGATGGGGCAGGAAGGCTGGGACATCAAGGTAACCAACCCAGCAGACCAGGCCCAAGCACTCTTCCCCCCTTGCCTGGACGGTGTTCTAGAACCTTGCCCAAATCAGAGATGTCTCCTTTCTCTGCATTAAGTCATTAGTTGTTTGTAAGAGGAATGCAGTGGAAGTTTCAGGAATCTAAGAGGCAGCAGCCAAGCAGTAATTCCATTGACTCCTTCACTGTCTACCCAAGACAGTACCAAGCAACATGCAGGTATTAATCTACCTTCTTTTCAGTCTTCCACAAAGATGTTTTTATTCTAAATACTGGAACAGTCTGAGACCCCCAAGATGGCCAGGCTGCCCCTCTTTCCCTTTGAGGTCGTTACAGTTTTGTTTCGTTTTGACCGTGCCACGCAGCATGTGGGATCTTAGTTCCCCAATGATTGGAGGCACTGAGTCTTAACCACTGGACCATCAGGGAAATTCCCTTTCCTTGAGATCTTTAAACATGCTCCTTGAAACATCTACCTCAACTTGAGTGTTGATTCCCTCTCACTGCCTTACCTGCCATCTGGGCTAGACTGTCTTATCCCTGGGAAAACCTCCTTCCCTAATGGCTCCAGTTTAGTGACATCCTAACTTAACCTCTGGTGGCTCAGTGGGAAAGAATCCACCTGCCAATGCAGGAGACACGAGTTCAGTCCTTGGGTCGGGAAGATCCTCTGGAGGAAGAAATGGCAACCCACTCCAGTATCCTTGCCTGGGAAATCCCATGGACAGAGGGGCCTGGCGGGCTACAGTCCATGGTAGTCACAAAAGAGTCGTGCAAGACTTAGCGACTAAACAATAACAACAACAAACACTTCGTCTCAGCTCGAATGTATGCCACATTATACTGAGAATTCCTGCCTACTCTCAGCATCCAGCTTCTGCCTTAATGAACAAGTGACTGTAAAGGATGATTAAGTTTCAGGGAGCCTTGGGATTTACTGGGTCTTAACAGAGTTCAAAGAGGACCATGCCAGGCTATAGTCCATGGGGCCTCAAAGAGTCAGACATGACTGAGCAACTTAGCATGTAGCACGTAACAGAAGTCTCAGGCTTCCCAGCTGGTGCTGGTGGTAAAGAACCTGCCTGCCAATGTAGGAGATCCAAGAGATGTTCAATCCCTGAGTTGGGAAGAGATGGGCATGGCAACCCACTCCAGTATTCTTGCCTGGAGAATCCCATGGACAGAGGAGACTGGTAGGCTATAGTTCATGGGGTTGCAAAGAGTCAGACATGATGGAAGCCACTTAGCACTCAAACCCAGACAACACAAGTCTCTCCTAGGTTTCTACCCTGTCCTTTTCGATAACCAAACTTCTTCAGAAAGAACTTGCCTTGGGGTAAGCAAATAGTTGATGAGGAAAGGTCCCTTACAAAATCCTTTACAAAATGTCAGCTGGTAGGCAGGAACATGTGTCCTGGTGAGTCACAACCTAGCACCCCAAGGCAGTCAGGCCCCAGGTGTCCTAACCTGTGGGAAGGGGTAGCCATCAGCTCCCCCAATGCATGACAGCCTTTAGGGGCTGGATTCCATGTCCCATCAATCCCTGGGACATCAAATGCTGCCCCTAAATTGATGCTCCCAACCCCAAAGCCTCCCAACTCCCAAGCAAAAATAAAATGAAGAAAACAACCAACCAAATAACAGCAACAAAGAATTTTAGCTGGTAAATTCAGAAGGAGTGATAGACTCTGGATGTACCAATGTGTGAACTCTAATGACAACTGGATCCAGGCAATAATCATCAGTGACTGCTAAAACCATTCAATGAAAGACTGAAATGGGGTTTCATAATGGCTAGATCAGATGATGAAGCCTGAATACACTGTTCAATCTTTATATCACAAAAAGAGTACCTCCTAACGTGATACAGTAGGAAGTACACAGCACCACGTATAAAGAATTCTTGCCAAAAAGTCAAAATTAAACTGATCAAGACTGAAGAGCTCATGGTCAGTTTACAGGAAATACAGGAGACAGAGGAACAAGTTTTAAAAGGTTAAAAACAGGACTTCCCTGGTGGTCCAGTGGTTAAGAATCCGCTTGCCAATGCAGGGGACATGGGTATGATCCCTGGTCTGGGAAGATCCCACATTCTGTCAGGCAGTTAAGCCCATGTGCCACAACTGAGCCTGCACTCTGGAGTTGGTGAGCCCCAACTACTGAGCCTTCTTGCCTACAGCCTGTGCTCTGCAACAAGAGAAGCCACTGCAATGAGAAGGATTGCCACTGGAGAAAGCTTGCACAGCAACAAAAACTCAGGGCTGCCAAAAATAAATAAATAACTTTTAAATAATAAAAGGTTATTGCACTATAAATGTGCAATTATAAAAATGGGGAATGTGGGAAATTATATAGTGCAAACAACCAGTTTCCTCAACAAATAAACTGAGAGAATATAGATTAGAAAGATTTAAGAAACATCAACCAAAACCAAATGTAATGCAATGTGTGGACCTTGCTGTTACTGTGTTGAACATATCACAGAAAAATACATTTTCTTTCAGAAAACTGGAAAAATTTGGACACCCAGTGGATATTTTATGATAATAACAGATTATTTTTTAGGCGTGATTATGGCATTAGGACTGAGTTAAACAGAGTCCTTATTTTTAGTCATACTGAAATATTTACTTAAATCCTTAATTATTTGATATATATATATAACAGCTATAATGATACAATGAATATCTATATTAAATAATCTAGAGTGAGTGAGTTGTAGAGTGGAGGAGGTCTAGATAAAACAAGATTGGCCAGATGTTGATAATTCTTAAAACAGGATGATGGGTATGTGTGTATGGGGGTTATAGTTTTCCTTCCTTTTTTCTATATTTGAAATTTTTTCATAATAAAAACTTTATTTTTTTAAAGAAACCTCTTCACCTGCATCCTAATCCTGGCCTCATCTCACTATTTCTGTCGCTACATCACTGGAACAGACACTCCAAATACAAGAGAGGCCCTCCTGTCACCAGCAATGTGTGACCCAGTCTCCCCTAATCCCTGATATATCCACCATGACAAGACCTCTCTCTGTTGTCTTCATGAAGATTCCACCCCATGGCCCACCACTGGGCTACTGAGCAATAGCAAAGCTGAGATTGCTACATGAAAACTCTGGTATATCACACTGGGATCTCCTGCCAGCACCATGGTCAGCTCCACAAGTTGGCCTAGGAAACCATCTGGAAGGTTCTGGAGAGTTTGCTAAGCTCAGGGACACCCTTCCGCCCTGAGAAAACCTGTAGTCTCAGTCTACCATGAGGAAAGATGTGAGAGTACTGGAAAGTGTCCACCCCACTGCCATTCCATCAAGCATGATCAGCCCTCCCACACACTGTGGTTGGCTCCCTAAAGGCACCTTCGGTCAACTGCACTCATCTCAGAGACTAATGAGGATAATTCTCCTTCTTGCATCTTCCATATGTTTGATTGCCTGGCTCCATGCTCTAAATATCTGCTCTTGCCCATTCTCCAGCATGCTGTTAGGAGTCCCTTCCCTGCCTTACTGGTTTTGATGCTTAGCAGGCTTTCTGCTATAAACACTACCTGACAGACGAATATGTACAATATTTTGTAAGGTTTAAAAAGTAAGTTGCAGAGATTTCCTGGTGGTCCAGTGGCTGAGACTCTGCGCTCCCCATGCAGGGGACCCAGGTTCAATTCTTGGTTGGGGAAATAGATCCCACATATCACAATTAAGAGTTCACATGCTGCAATGAAGATTGAAGATCCTGCGTGCCACAGCTGAGATCTGGCTCAACCAAATAAAAAAAATAAGTACTATTTTTAAAGTTAAGTTGCAGATGGGTGTGTGCATGTGTATATACTTTATATATATATAGTAAATAATTCCCACTTTTAAGAAGAAATTCAACAAAAACTTCCATTTAGGTAGACTTGTGTTTGTAAGGACAGGGTAATGGATGTGGGATGATACTTAGCAGAACATGTTACTTCAAAGGGGTGAAGGTTTTATAATGAAACTTGACAAGATGTTTCTAAAACTAATACAGAAATTTTAATGCACTGTTTCAGTTATCTATTGCTGTGTAACAAATGACCTCCAAAACCTAGTGGATTAATATTTTTACTCACAAACCTGGAATTTAGAAAGGG